TCAGCCAAAATGTGAAATATAAACATTGTTATACAAAAACAACAATTGTATCAAATAGCATGAGCAGCGTCAGAAATCAATATGGCAGCCAAATTGACAAATACTAAATTTGTAGTAAATCACACAACAACAACATTTTCATTCATGATGTCCATTTTCTGTCGAAAATGCTGTCTTGTATCTATCTTTCGGTTTTACTAAAATGTGATTAAATCCTTTCTTTTAAATCCAATGTTGTAAAATATTGGGCTTTTCTCAGTTTATCAAAAAGACTTTCTACATTTGGTATAGGAAATTTGACTTCGATTGTGATTTCTTATAATCTACGATAATCAATTACTATTCTCCATTTTTGCATTCCTGAATTGTCCATCTTCTTTGGTACTATCCGAAATGGTGTATTGTATGGTGAACAATCTTTTCTGTATTATTCCTTTCCATTTCGGTAATATGATTTCTTATTTAATTTTTATACTCTCGCAACCTGTTTCTACAGAGTATAATAGTTTTGTTCACCTAACGGTTGTTTGTATCACTTAAAACTAATCGAGTTAGATATAGGGTTATATATATATAAATGATCAGGATGAAGAGACGAGTTGAAATCCGGGTGACTGTCTGTCCGTCCGTCCGTCTGTCCGTCCGTCCGTGCAAGCTCTAACTTGAGTAAAAATTGAGATATCTTTATGAAACGTTGTAATTACTCTCTACAATCGCAAACATTTATTCTGATACAAATGCGCGACACTATTAAAATTAGCATTGATATGACAAATTGGAGTGAGATTAAAAATATTAATCGAAAACTTCAGTGAACGAAATTCTTTACAATTACATGAAAAGGCAGAAAAGTAGTTCACAAAAATATAACGCAGACGTATAACGAATTATCAAATATACTAACGCGGATGAATAACAAATATCATCTATCGACAGAAAGTTCAATAGATAGAACTCCAGAAAATAACGAAGAGTCAATTTTGAATTTGTGTAATGAAAAAATAGCAATTAATACCGCGAGCATTATAATATCAAGTAATATAAAAACACTATTTGAAACATATCGATTATTAGAACAAAATAATTGGACACGGTTTGATAATAACTATAGAAATTTTAAAAGTGTTTCAAATTTTAATAATATAAATAAAGGATACGTTCCCACAAGTAGAAATAATCAACAATTTAATAAATACAGAGGACAGTCACCTGGTGTATACTTCCGGCAAAGCAAACAAAATGTATAATGCGCTGTTGACTTCACTTATTCTTTCACCTTAGGTGCGGTGTTATACTCACTTTTTGTCACAATTGTAACTTTCAGTTTTTTAAATTCACTTGTACTTCACTTCGAAGAAAATCACTCGGCCGGGAACGTTTTGATGTATAACCTTATAGGTCACGGATGAAAGCGCAAAAAAGAGAGCCATTCTGGTCTGACTGGTCCTTTGATCATTCGGGTGGTGGAAAAGACGGTGGTTGCAGTGTGGGTGTATAGTGTAGATGGTTGTGTTGGTGAGTGATATGGTGTGTTGTAGGTGGTGTATGATGTTGCGTTGGTTATGTTGTATTGTATGATGTTGTACGGTGGGTTGTGAGCTTAGTTGTCGCGGGATTAGAAGTCGCATGACATCCGGCCCCCTAGGCGATTAATTGCCTAGAAGTCTCTGCAACTGTTGCAGAGTGCTCACTACGGCGTTCAATCCGGTTGCCCTTTGCCGCTGGTTGCGATGACCATAGGGTGGTGGAGGTGGCCGCGAGCGTGCCCCTCTGGATGGCTTCGGGCGATGTATTCTTTGGCGCTGGACGGGATTCCCTTGTTGTCTTTGCCGGTGACTGGTCTGCGTGGTGGACGGAGTTGCTCGTCGAGGGAATCGATGGAACAAAGTATGATGCGGTCGTTGGCAATATTGGCACGATCCGTCGGTTATACACTCAAAGGTGGAGTGACTATCTGCCAAGCAAGTCATACAGTGTCCGTGGGCTCTGGCGATCTGTTGGCGTTGAGCGGGCTTCATGCTTTTGAAGATGGTGCACCTCTTCAGGACGTGAGGTCGATGGCATAGACTGCATCGTGGAGGCAGATGCTCATCAAACTGCTCCTCGTTTGCATCCCTGACTGCTGCTGCAGATGATTGGCTGTGTGGTACCGTGGCGCTTTGCATCCTTGGTGCTGCGATGGGTGGACCAGGTGCTCTAGGCGCAGCAATTACGGACCTCACAGTCTTGGGAGCGCTGTGTATATCTTCTATGTCCATTTCTATTGGAATAGGAATATATAATATTAAAATATGGTTTGGCTCATAATTTTGAATTATGATATTTGTTACTTGGTTTGAAAATATATATATATATATATATGTATATGTGACTATATATGTTGTGGTTAATTTAATCGCGTTTGTAGTGTTAGATTTGCATGTACGAATTATAAAACGGTAGTATTTCGAGTTAAACGAATTAATTGTCGGTTTTGATTTTATTTATGCGCTTGTCTTGGCGGGTTTGTGAAATCGGTTCTTCGGTGTTCGGAAGAAACACAATTTACTAATGGTCGAGTTAGTATACCAGTTTGGGTTCGTACGTCTACTATTCTTATGTGACCATCTCGTCCCGATGGACCTTTTCAATGCGGCTAGTCGCCATTCTGTTGGAGAAGGCATCACTCATGTATGATGACGCATTCGCCCGTATTTGGTTCCTTCTGGATCGTTTTCCACCGATGCTCTTATGGAGATCTTTAAGGTAATCTTCCTTCCATCTATGGCTGAATTCATGATGAAGTATCTTAATTTTTCCCATCGGTCTATTAAATTGAGTGAGTCTCCTTCTGCCTCAGGTATGGCGAGAAGTGGAGCTCCTCTGAGGAAATGTCCAGGTGTAAGAGCTGTGAAATCGGAGGATCTTGCGAGTGGTGAGATGGGTCTTGAATTTAGTAGGCTTCTATACGTGCGAGTAGTGTGGTAAATTCCTCATAATTAAATTTATGATTACCTGCCGTTTTCTTTAAATGGGACTTAAAGCTTTTACAGCTGATTCCCAGAGTCCGCCCATGTGGGAGAACAAGGGGTATAAACTGCCAATCGATTCTTGTGGTGCATTTTTTAACAATTTCTGGGGAGACTTCTTTAGTAAATTTTACAAACTCTTTCTCTGTGCTCTTTGAGCTCCGATAAAGTTTTCCCATTGTCGCTCATCATTTTGATGGATCCGCGTCGTCCGACAAAGCGTGCAAATGCTGCGAGAAAAGCCGCAGTAGACAGATCCGAACATAGCTCAAGGTGTACTGCCTTTGTCGTGAAACATACAAAGACAGCCACATACCCTTTCCTGAATGAGGAAGACCTTAACATAGAGGCCTTTATCTGGAAAGGTCCAGCAAAATCGACCCCAGTAATGGTAAAGGGAAGAGCAAAATTGCAGCGTTCAGGTGGCAAAGCTGCCATGATCTGCGTGCGTATTTTGTACTTGTACAATGTGCATTGTTTACACATAAAAATCGTTCTTTTAATCTGTGGCTTTAGGCGCGGTATATAAAATTCTAGTCGGACCATTTGTTGCATCAAGCGATGCTCACCATGTAACGTAAGTTGGTGAAGATATATTAAAATAAATAAGTAAACGGGATTTCTCGGGAATTATAATGGGATGTCGTTCGTTATAACTAAGGCTGGAATTCATAGTCTTCCATGTGCCGGATTAATCCTTTTGTGTCCAAAAAGGATTTAAACGAGAAGTGAGCTTCCTTATCGAGGGTCGTCTTTCGACTAACTTTGATTTCTCCGATTGAAATAGCGAGTTTGTGTATAGGTAATTAGGATGACCTTTGCATGTTGCATGTCGGAATGCGTTAGTTGTACGGAAGGATCATTGGTTATTCCTTTAACCTTTTGTTTGAGTCTTTGGATAAATTTAAACATGTAAGCGACTACTTAGTGCTTTTGGGAATGATGAAAATCGGTGTAATATATCATCTTCATCAGAGTGATATGAAAGTTTTCAATTCTCCGAGTTTCAGGAGCTATTATTTGCGAGCGGGAGACTTTGGCCAGACTTCTTGTGATTCTGTTAACCACGTAGGACCGTTCCACCAGAGTGTAGTGCTGGTGAGATGAAGTGGTTTGCAGCCTCTTGTCCCAAGATCCGCTGGATTATCTGCACTTGCAACATGTTGCCATTGTGCTGGGCCAACTAAGTCTAATATTTGAGATATACGGTTAGATACATAAGTCTTCCAGGTATATGGTGGTTTTTCTAGCCATGCTAAAACTATTTCTGATCTGACAAAGGTACATTTGTGATTGGTTAGTTTCAGATGAGTTTGGACAATTGAGACTAGTTTTGCTACAGAAGTGCACCATTCAGTTCGAGCCGTGCAGGCTTAGTGTCTTCAGGGGAGCAACTTTGGCTTTGGCTACAAAAGACGAAGATATTTTGTTATCATATTCAGTGCGTACGTAAACTGTTGCACAATAGGCTTT